CTCGGACGCTTACCATTCGGCACAGCAAATATTAACCTTTTAGGAATTCTCTCGTTACTAAGCCCAACAACTTTACAAGCCCATTTGATTCGCCGCGATGAAATTACCTCAATTATATTACCCGGATACAGCTCACGCAATTCGGCGTTGTGTAACCGTCTGAACTCTCCGGTTAACTCATCCTTCGGTCCGAATATTCTACGCAATACTTTATTTTCAAAAACCTTAAGACGCTGCTCATCCCTTAATGTAAGCGGCCAAGTTTCGCATCCATAAAGGACTGTAGGCAAGATAATTGTTTTATAGATTCTAATTTTTAAGTTTCGGGACAAGAGGCGCGAACTAAGTAGTTTTGTCACAGAAAAATAACAAGCATTCCCCGCCTTCAGTCTAACCTTAATCTCTTCTTCAATTTCGTTTTTTCTAGTTATCCTAGAACCTAGATACCTAAATTTATCTACCTGTTCAAACACATTACCATCTATATCGATATCACCAGTAGTATCGCCATTTTTGCAGCTAACCATATATTTTGTTTTATCCACGTTTATTTCGAGTCCTAGTTCTTTACCGGCTTTCATTAACGTTGTCGTATTTAGTTTTATAGTTTCAACATCTTCGCTTAACAGTACCAGATCATCAGCATAGCCCAGCACGGATGTTGTCCCGCCCAGATCCAACCCTTTCTCGGTTCGCATTACCTCCCTAATGGCATGTTCTAATGCCAAATTGAACAGGACAGGCGAAAGAGAATCCCCCTGTTTTAAGCCCGAACGAACCTCAAATTTTTCGGACAAATTATTACCGATTCTAACTTTATTGAGTGTCTCCGTCAAGCTCATCCTGTCTAGATTTACTAGTATATTTACTAGTATATAAAATGAAAAAGTAACATTAATGAAAATAAATATTGTGAAATTATTTAGTATTCTATTAATAATTTTTAATATGACTAGCCTAAAGGCGGACCAACCCTCTTTTTACAAATTATACAACTGTTCATTTAATTGTACTACTCGTTGCTCAAATTGTAAAACTTTAATTTACATGTATGCTGTAGTTCAGATTGTATTATTGTTTATCAACATAAAATAAACTGAACGAAACCACGGACAAATTTTTAATTTCTTTAAAAATCTATATTATACATCGCGCCTTATTGCCAATTTGTAACCATAATACATATTCAAATTTTCCAGCTTCATATAAGGCCAACCATAATTTGAGCCTTTATTTCTAATATTTTCATTGCTCGTTATGTTGTCCTTTCTTTTCTATTTCATAATAATTATAATTATATCACAATAAATAATATTATATATGATATAATAATTAATATATTGTATTCAAGGGGAAATGTCTAGATCGAAAAATAACTGCTGTCACCTAGGTAAAATCAAACTACCACCTCCAGATGAATAAATAACTTTTTCCGTACAAATTTTTGGTCTATAATCTTTAATTTTTATTAGGAATGTATTAGGTAAGAAGCTCAAAACATCTAATTAAATGAACAGGTGTGTAATTAATGCTAATTATAGAGATAACAGGAAAGCCCCTGTAACCTCCTACTCTCCTAATACTAAAATAGAAATAAAATATGACATATACTACTTTTATAATCTTATAATACTTTTATGGAGAGATATTCTGATCGGATGTAGATTACTTCTTTTATATTATGCTACCTTTCTCTTTTTTTCTATTTATTTACGACTACATTATACTCTTTTTTTTTTTTTTTTAATCATATATCTTGTGTCTTACTGTTATTATTCATTAAATAGCTCTTGCTATTTTCTATATTAGCTTTGGCCGCCATCCCCACCCTTCTTGAATAGTATTTCAAATTGTCAACATAAGTTGCTTTCTTTCATTAATACACCTATATTTTTATTAATATTTGTTCGACTCTTGAGGAAACCATCATAACCCAAAGTATAGAATTATGCAACCCGAGGAGAGCGTTGGAGGAGTTCTTTCATTGAACGAGAAGAGCTGGCAGGCCAAGACTGAGGTTGGCTGATGGCGTTGCAGTAGACGCAAGATGCCTTTTAAAGATCAGGAACTGAAAGGCGGTAGCACAAGACAGCCAAGTGGTAGGGATTTATTGAGGAGACCAAGACCCATCCCGGGTTGTAGGGTTGTAATACCGCGGATCCAGATAGAATTATTTAAAAAATAATGTATCTGCAATGGCGACGAGTCTTGTGATCTTAACTACGGTGTTCATTGTCGACAGGAGCGGTCCAATTTCCTGCTGTTGGGAAAATTGCTATTGTTACAAGAGTATCCTTTTGAACCAATATACAGTTACCAACTGTAACTTTAACAACTTAGTGTTCAAGCACTTTACATCTGGTTTTGGCGGATAGTCAGTTTCTTTTTTCTCTTTTTGGTAGAATTCTTACTTGTCAAATAATACCATGTGTAATTTAATTTACATATATTCTGTCTGAATAAATAAAATGAACGAAACAACTAGTCCGTGGTACAGAACCCTTTTTTTCAAATGATTAACATCCGGCTGAAACTTCGTAAATAGCTTCATCTCAGCGTAACCTAAAAATATTTTATTTGCGGAAATTCTTTGAATTGGGGCGTTTTCAATCTCGAAGTAGGCAAACTTTGTCTATTTAATTACGTACTAAAAACTCTTAAGTACCCATTTGCTTTCCACTATAACCGTATGATAACTGTAGCACAAAGTCGAGAAAAAAAGTGTCCTCAAAATTATTGAGCCGTTTGGACTATATAATCTCTTTATTTTGACAATATGGGGGTGTAGGTCACGCTAAACGGCTCAATATTTTTGAAGGCCACCTTTATTCTCGACTTTGTGCTCGAGTTATCTTGCGATTAAAGTGGAAAGCAAATGAGAATTTAAGTGTTTTTAGTACCTAATTAAATAAGTTTGCCGACCTCCATTTTGCAAACGCCCCAATTCCGAGAATTTTCGTAAATAAAATATTTGTAGGTTATAATGAAATGAAGTTACTTACAAAGTTTCAGCCAGATGTTAATAATTTGATAAAAAGGGGGGTCTGTACCGCGGACTGCACGGTTCGGGCAAATTTTTAATTTCTTTAAAAACCTATATTATACGTCTTATTGCCAATTTATATTATTATATAATTATATTTATTCTTATATCTTGTAACCATAATATATCTTATGAGTATGAAACTAATAATTACCAAATGGAATAATGTTGTTTGAGGTAAATTGTTCAAAATTATAATAAAAATAAATAAAATCAGTATAAACTTTATCTTTTAATATAAAACTTAAAATTAACTATATATGAATTTCACTTTTGATTGTACTGATCTGTTTACACATAGCATCGATAAACAATAGGTTCTTCCAATTAGATGACGTCGTCTGTTTTTTTTTTGTTTTTCTATCGGCTCTAGCACCCAAGTTGAGTCTTGGTCTGCTTCAACATTGATCGCCAGTTTTCTCTATCGAGTGCTGCTGCCTTCCAATTACAGACATCAAGTATAGCTTGGGCATCTGAAGCGATACATTCCTCCCAGCAAAGCCTTGGTCTGCCCTTGTTACTTTAAATGAAACTAAAATGACATAGAGGCAGGGGCTTGCTGTCTGAACCATCTCCTCTTCCCCCAATAGAAATTTTCTTTTTTCATTTATCAATATTTGTTTCTGAGCTAAATACTAAACAATCACAATATATATTTTTTTAATTATAACCCTTATACTGATGTCAAATATAAGCACGTGACAAAAAAAACATATCTCAAAGTTCATTCTAGGACCTGTTAAACATAATTTTATACAGCTTCTTTATTTTTCATACATAGTAATAATAGTAAGGTAAAGTAATGTATAAAAAAAAAAATCCTCAAACATACTGACTCCGCTTCTGACATGATGTATTACTGGTTGATGTTCACCTCCTTCATCTTAACTCTTGATGTATCCAATTTTGTTTTGTTTTGGCTTTATCGGTTAGTCGGAAGCAGGGGTCTACAAATTACGTTTAAAGTTTTTTTGATTACATAGTAAAATTTTAAAAACTAAGAATATGAAATTTCTCCAATTACTCGCACACGATATTAATACAGAAGTGTCATTTGTCGAGCAAAAATATTTTTTCATCACAAGCCATGGCCCGTGGGCTTTGGGTGGAGGTCTCAATGCGGTTATAAAAAATATGATATCAAATAAATAACATTGATTTTTTTTTTAAATGTAATAAATAATAAAAAGGAAAATAATTGTGTGCAATTAGTGTAGATGTATTTGTAGAGAGGAATAAATAAATTAAAAGTTAAAAACGGTGTTGATGACCATTGAAGTTTTACGCCATTAAACTACAATAAACAAGTCAAGTCATAGAATTGTCTAGTTATCATTTTTGTATATATATATATTTTTTTGTTATTTTTAGCCCTGATGATGACCCACATGTTTGGTCCAAAATTTCGGCTAGTCCCATAAATACTATTGTGACTGAAATTCCTGACGATTTTGTTTTATCATCATATATAATTATCGTATTCCTCTTAGTTTAGTGGTCCCAAGGAGAGTGTTGGATGAAATTCATAGAACAAGAAGAGCTGGCAATCCAAAACTGAGGTGGTTTGATTGAGAAGACATAGAAGATTCAGTTTAACGTTGCCAAAAAATTGGCTTTCAAAACGAATTTTATTCCTTACAATGTTGATATTTGGCTATTTTGTCTGTTGAGCTTGCCGAACACTGGTCCAAAGGAACAAAGATGAGAGTATTATGTAGAATATGTATTACCTTTTTTTTTCTCTTAATATTTGTATCTACCTAGTTTCACATATTGCTTTAAATAGCTAATTCCACTGTCCTCCAGCAAGTCTGTACAAGACCTGCGGTAGTTTCTACAAACTTTCATTACTCATCAGATGAGCTTGTCCCTCCTAGCCATCCTGCCAACGCTCCCCTCCTCAGGGTAGTCGAGGTCGTACTTCGTCGGACGGTTTGTCTTCAGTCTTTGTCCAATCATGACTGCAGTCAGGACCTTGCTGGCGTTTTCTGCCTGCGTAGTGGCCGTTTACGGAGCGCTACCCAAAGCACAGCCCGTTCTGCAACTTCGTGAGTAATCATATCAACTTGCAAAGTTTACAGCGTCTCACTTCGCAATATTTTAAAAGTTACAAATGATATCTAGATACTTATTACTGAAAGAAAAATATATATTATGTCGTGCTAATTACAACAAACAAGAATAAACTATTTCATTTTGTAATATAAACTTTTCTTTCAATTTATATTTCATAAATACTAGTTTAGTTTTAGATAATAAAAAATAATTTTATATACTATCAAATTGTGCATTCAGGTTCATTTTAAAAACACAGTAATATCACGCTTTATCAGCAAGGTTATTTTCAAATCTGGTTTTATCATTGCCAAATATATTTAATAAAAACGATACTTGCGTGATGTCATTTGACAAGCATTGGGTTTGGTGGTAAAATAAAACCCAAATCTATTGGTCGACTTTTTAAGGAACTCGGAACATTAAAAATTAATTTATTGTAACATTATAAATCCATGTATACGCATGTGCGTATATATTGTAATATTAGAAAAACATTTATTTATATAAAACATTGGTGACTAAAGTACGCCGCCTCTAAATTGGTGGAATCATTCTAATAAATAATTTATAAAAATATTATTTTCCAGTTTTTTTTTTTCTCCTCCACTTCTGTGTTTCGCTGAGAGATGCATTTTATATATAATTTTGAAAGTACGTCACTTCTGGGACCTGTCTTCATCGAATGAGAATTCGCCAAGACATCTCCGATTGGGGTCACATCAATTGTCCGCGCACACAATTAGCTATCGCTTGATGACTTAAAGACTTTCCTTTGTGGTTCTTGTCAATTCATCAACTTCCTTATGCTTAAAAATATACTTATTGTATTCATTTTTAAGAATAAAATTACTGTAGAAACCGTTTTTGATGTACTATCTTGTCGTTACTTCGATAAACAAGTAACCAAATACCCCTTACGTAATTATGAAAACTGGATTTTCGTTTAGAAAATATAGGTTTATTACATTAAAATATTTTTCTTCTTAATCGTTTCCTCTTCTGCCGCTGAGCGGTGTGAGGAGTCTTCTTGTAGAACCGACCCTACAACTCCCGGACCCTATACCAATTGCCGCATCCTCCTCCAGTCCATATCTTATATATAAATACTCCCTTTTCCAATCCAATCCCTTTTCACTAGATCTCGACCTTCCGACCTTTACATTCCTTCTCACAGATCTACCTCGTTCCAAAACTCGTTTATTGCTCGCTCTGTTAATTTCTGGAATTCCCTTCCTATCAAAATTCGGCATTCTCCCTCCCTATCTACATTTAAAACCCTCCTATTCCAATTTCTATCCCAAAAACGGTCAGATACCCCCCGCCAATCGTCTATGTAAATTTACATATTACTTAAAATGATTCACATAATGATATAGTTACATATAATCATCATTTAAATACTTACTATCAGATTCGTCTTTTTTTCCTTTTTTTTTTTTTTATGCAGAAACACAGAGTTCATTGCTAAGAAGAATGTAATATATTTTATTAGTATGTATTTTTTTTTATTTTTATTAAGTGTATACTTTTTTATATTTTACCACTGTACATAGTTTTAAGTGTCTTGGCATGGTTTCAAGTGTTTTATATATAGATTTTTTTTATTTTGTACAAAGTATGTTTAACTAATATTTTCTTTACTTTTTTTTTTTACTTTTCATGTATGTTTTTACTCAGGCCAGATATAATACTTTAATTTTGTACTTTTTTGTTATTCTAAAGGGACTTCGTCCTAGAATAAAATTATTTTCCATTATATTCTATTCTAAATATTTTTCTTCGCTAGTTTTACATTTTTCCTATATCTGTAGTAATCTTTTAATTCCATATCGGAAAAAACTGTTGCTCTTTTGTGTATTTTCATAAGAAGCGCTGCTGAGCAAGCGGACACTGAACGTTCCCTTCACTATTTTTGCTCTGTATCGTGGTGGTTCGTTATCATGGAGCAAACTCACTTAGTGTGATCTTTTTTTGTATTTTGGTAATTTCCGCGCAATACTCCATTCAAATATATCATTTATTGTCGATAGCTTTCAGTACGAAAGGTTTCGCCAGGTTTTAGCTTTCATCACATCCACGTTCTTCATTTCTTAAGAAAAAATTGTCACTATTGATTTTTTCAACTACTACTTGTTGAAACCAGCATTAGATCCAATTTTGCCGCAGTTTTCTTGGATTAGTGACAAGGAACTAAGGATGTCCATAAATCGTAGTTTATAACCACAAAACTCTACTTGTTCAACACTATTAAAACTATGCAGTTATATAAAACTTTTATTGTTATGAATTGAAAATCTTTGCCAGATGTCGGAGAAACAAAATGTAGCCAACAATGCGGGTTAACCTTGACAACATTAACAACCAGTGCCATCTGGAAGGAAGACTAAAATATAAAGCGCCTGTTGAAGTTTTCTAATATGAGAACAAAATATATCTTATAGCCCGTGGTACAGATCCCTTTTTATCAAATTATAAACATCCACCAGAAAATTTGTAAATACCTTCATCTCATTGTAACCTACATTTATTTTATTTGCGAAAATTCTACGACCTGGGGCGATTTCAATCTGGAGATCAACAAACTTTGTCTATTTAATTAGACACTAAAAACTCGTAAATACCCATTTGCATTTTATTTGGATTGTAAGATATTTTAATCGCAAAACCGAGGAAAACATTAGCCTATAAAAATATTGGGCCGTTTGGTCTATAAAACCTCGTTTGATCTAATTATTCCGACATTTTGAGGATGTAGTTCACGCAACGGCTCAATATTTGGGAAGGCCAACTTTTTTTTCTCGATATTGTTCTCAAATTATATTACGATTGAAGTGGAAAGCAAATTGGTATTTACGAGTTTGTAGTACCTATAACATTATTAAATAGATTAAATTTATTGATCTCCAGGTTACAATGAGATGAAACTATTTGCAAAGTTTCTGGTGGATGTTTATAATTTGATAAAAAGGGGTCTGTACCACGGACTGCTATACTCCCGGAAGAACATACAGCTTATCTACTGTGATGGTATTGAAAGAAAAAGAATGGTTTAGGACTAAAAATATTCGAATTACCATAACGAATAACTGAACTGAACCACAATTACTATTAAGAATGCACTGTGCATCCCAACCATTCCGAATATGATGAATTGCTGTGTCGCTTATAAATTAGGTTTCTCGCAGACTGACACAATCGTAATACTAAATCTTTTTTTTTATTTAATTTTTGCCGTCCTCGTCTATAATACAATATAAGTAATGTGGATGAGTTTACTACAAAAACGTTTTAATGTCGTGTAAATGATTTGAAACCTTTTGCAGGTGGTAGTGCGAAGGTACTTATTATACCTAAACGTTTTAAAAATATCCTAAATACTGTTATTACATTTGGTTTCGATTTAAGTCTAAATAATGGTGGCAATTCGTTTTTTTAAATAGAACACCTTAATTTACATTTTCATCGTTGATATTATCATTTTAAATAGGTCGTTAAGACAACCGTATGATTATGTCGATGGCTAAAAGCACTAAATTTTTTTTTGTAACTTCAGATGTCTAAATTAGACCAGACACAGGAACTAAAGCTAATCTTAAACGCGTATTCTGATATACGTTCAGAAACGCCTCACACTTGCAGAAATGGTGATTGGCATCGATTCTGCGGATGGCTCTGCTGAGAGTCACTCAGTCGGGTCTCTCATGAGGCGGTGCAAATTTTAGCGATAGGGGTGCCTCTATACCTTCTCCTGCGTGAAGATTCATTAAAATATGTTTTTAAAAGAGAAGGCTCAGAAGGTCTACCAAAACATATACGGGATTGTCGAGAACCCTCGAAAATGGAAAAGAATAATTCAACAAGATACTATTAATGAGTGAGACCGGCGTTGGGTGACTACAGCGAAAGGTTCTACCTTGAAAAAATATTTCCCCAATATGTTAATTGACAACATTTGCATAACCCGTAAAGTTGCCGACACCCGTTTTGCCCAAAGGCACGGAAAGGCGATAAAATAAATAAATAAAAAATAATCTTAAAACTGCTACAAATTTACAAATAATTAAAAATAGACACAGATTCCAAACATTAATAATCTACTCAATGATTGATGTATGTAAGTAGATTTACCATATTTTATCTTCTACAAAAATTTTTTGCATTCTGACTTCTTAACCTCCAATTGAAGAAAATAACGGTGTTAGACTTACGTTTGTTCTTTTAGCTATCGATGTAATTCTCACGACAACGTTATTGTTTAATTGTTATTCCCACCCATATTAGTGAGTAAATAGCTCCTAGAAAAATAAAGTTGTTCAATTATTGGTAAATTAAATTCATAATCACAAGGTGTGGTAGAGTTGTTTTTTGGAATATTGATTAGGAACGCAAGTGAAACTATTACTTGATGAATAAGGATTTTGAAAAATCAGGCCAAAATATCGACTAAGAAACATACCAATTATCTACATAACACACTTGTTACTAGTACATATTTCTGGGCATGTTTTATTTAGGACATCTACATTTATTTTTCGTCTATACATATTTCTCTCGTTCTTTACTAATTATTCTTCCATCTACCTCTCGTTGGTTTCCCACTCGATACCCCATCTACACGCTGCGAGGATATACCCAGCCGCCCGTGAAAAAGGGTTAGATCGGACGAAGGTCGATGCGGTGGGAAGTATGTGGGCGAAGGACTGTATGAACTCTGGTGTCGATGACCCTACACCTTCCGACAGTGGTACTTTGCGTGATTCGAGCAAGTTACTTTTCTTCAAAGCAATTATCCTTATTTGCATATTACGATATTGGATATCAGTTATTTTGCAAATGTGAACGATAAAATCCATACGATTTTCTAAGTATGAAGTATTGAAAGGGCACTAAAGTAAAATATTTCAGATTAAAGATACTTAAACAATGTTAATATTATAATGTCAAATGTAATTGAGTCAGGTTTAAATGTCCTGCTAATGGGCATAATATG